ATATCTTATCATTTGACAAAGAAGTTATAACAAACATTGACTAAAAATTTGTGGTTAAGAATTCATATTATACTTATCTATAAAGGCATTCCGATTATGTAAATGATTTCATATTATAAGTTTATTTGTATATATATTGATAGACGTTGTAAGCATCATTATCATAGGATTATAAATTTAAGAAATATTTATAATCTTTATAAACAATACTTCCAAATCGTTTTATACAATCAATACTGTATTCATGAATCTATGCATTAATTGTTCACAGTGGGAATAGGTATTAACTAGATGATAAGTGGAATTAATTTAAATAAATAAATAAAACTTCTTTGTAGAGGAATTACTTATCAGACTTTAACTATGAAATATTTGTGTAGAACAATCATATCTGATCGAAGTACTCAAATGATCCAATTAAAGAGTATACAATTATAAAGTAATTTACGTATAGGAAAATTTATTGTGGCTTCAATTTTTTCCACGAAAGAAAATCTAAAATTACTTTCTCTTTTATATTTGAAGTACCAATAACATTACAGCTAAAAAATTGAAAATTCGAAAAATCAATCATACCTAAAACTATTCTAGATCAATCATACCTAAAGCTATTCTATATCAATCATATCTAAAACTATTCTAGATCAATCATACCTAAAGCTATTAAGTTAGAAGTCAATAAACTGATTTTTCAAAATGTTACAACATATAAAATAGTAATTCCAAATAACAGAAATATAACTATTCTCTAATTTCATAAGATTTATTGCCACTCATTTTGTTGACAGTTGACCGAAAAAAAAGTTATAATAATTCCACTTCATCAATTTCAATATTATGAAAGATAGTGGAAATAATAAAAGAATTTTTCAGATTTTATTTAGTGATCAGAAGTTACAGCGTTTGAATGTTTCACTTGAGGAAGTAAAAAGAGCTGGTGAAAATGTTGATCCAACAAAACGAATGAATGCTCTGAGGGTTAATTACTATTGTTTTTACGAAATTCAACCTTAACCCCTCGAAATTTAACCCTCATTTAAGATATATTAGCAATTCAATTTAGCATAGAAGCATGCAGAAAAAAAATCATTCATAATTTTATGTGAGCTAAGCTTAACAATGATTAATAATGATTAATTATTAACAATGATTAATGATTAACAATGATCGAGAAAAATTGAACTATTAACAGATAGGAGCATTTTAACGATTAATCTTCTAAAATCTCTTCTGTACTAATCCATATGGCATAATCTGAGATTTAGTTTACCATATCAAAATATCACTAACATATTATCAGTCGGATAATAATGATCCATTTCCTTTTTTTTAATTTCAAATGATAAAAGTATACTTTAATTGATAAAACTTAATCATACTATTATAGTTTAAAATTATAGGAAGAAATTGAAACGAATCGTTATATGGTTAATGAGAAATTACCAAAAGAAATTGAATCAAAAAAAGCAATTGTTGATAATTTGAATAAAGTGATCGATGTTGCAGCTGTAGACAAAAACGATATCATTGAATTACAACAAAAGGTAATTTATTTTTAATCTTTAAATTTTAGTAGTAATAAACTATAAAATATTTGCTTACCTATTGCTGTAGACAAAAATGATATCATTGAATTGCAGCAAAAGGTAATTTATTTTTAATCTTTAAATTTTAGTAGTAATAAACTATAAAATATTTGCTTATCTATTCATTTGAATTTTTTAGATTGAAAAAATAAATCAGGAAATTACGGATCTGATAAATGAACGTGATCGTAAAGATGAGAATACGGATAAGCTATCAATTTATCGACATCAAGCATCATCGATTTATAAGAAAAAAGCAAAATTGGTTGAAAATTTGCAAAAAGCGCGGTATTTAATTTAAACTAAATTTTAATATAGAAATTAAATAAATTTTTAGCTTTTGTTTTTCTTTTCCTTTTTATTTTGAGTAATGAATTAATGACAGTTAAATGAGGCAGCTTAATGTTTAATAGAGTCGAAATGAGAATTAATTGGACAGTATGACCCTAAGAATCTCATTTAAAAATCTGATAATATCAGCACTATCAATCAGTAAGTAAAGAATATTCGATTACTTCTACTTCTTTATTTGTATCATTAGTTTGATTGGACAGTATGACCCTAAGAATCTCATTTGAAAATCTGATAATATCAGCACTATCAATCAGTAAGTAAAGAATATTCGATTACTTCTACTTCTTTATTTGTATCATTAGTTTGATAAATATTGTTAATTACTGAATAATTAAGAGAATTCGTTATGTTTTAAAATTTCATGAATAGTTTGTTTGCTTTGTTTTTCATAGTTTGGAATTGCAAAATATCACAAATCAGGTGGAAACAAAGAAAAATAGCTCACGTGAAAAAGGTGGCACAGATTTTATGATTACAACCACACAGGTTTTACTCTTTATTTGAAACTTTTTACTTCTTACTACAAAGTGAATACTTTAATATTTTTGCAAAACAATTAAATATTTTAAATTAATTGCTTTTTTTTTAAAAAGCATTTTCAAAAAGTAGATTGTTATTTTAATAGTTGTTAGTTTTATTTGATACAATTGAAATCGAAAGGTGAAGTGATTAAGAGGATAGATGAAATTCTTATGTATCAATAATATTATAGGTGCTAGTTTTATTTGATACAATTGAAATCGAAAGGTGAAGTGATTAAGAGGATAGATGAAATTCTTATGTATCATTAATATTATAGGTGCTAGTTTTATTTGATACAATTGAAATCGAAAGGTGAAGATTAAGAGGATAGATGAAATTCTTATGTATCATTAATATTATAGGTGCTAGTTTTATTTGATACAATTGAAATCGAAAGGTGAAGTGATTAAGAGGATAGATGAAATTCTTATGTATCATTAATATTATAGGTGCTAGTTTTATTTGATACAATTGAAATCGAAAGGTGAAGTGATTAAGAGGATAGATGAAATTCTTATGTATCATTAATATTATAGGTGCTAGTTTTATTTGATACAATTGAAATCGAAAGGTGAAGTGATTAAGAGGATAGATGAAATTCTTATGTATCATTAATATTATAGGTGCTAGTTTTATTTGATACAATTGAAATCGAAAGGTGAAGTGATTAAGAGGATAGATGAAATTCTTATGTATCATTAATATTATAGGTGCTAGTTTTATTTGATATAATTGAAATCTAAAGATGAAACTCTTATCTATCACTAAATTATAGTTGTGGTTTTATTTGATATAATTGAAATCTAAAGATGAAACTCTTATCTATCACTAAATTATAGTTGTGGTTTTATTTGATATAATTGAGATCTAAAGATGAAATGGCTAGATAGATGAAATTCCTATCTATCACTAATTATAGTTGTTTTATTTGATACAATTGAAATCTAAAGGTGAAATTCTTATGTATCACTTAATTATAGTTGTTAGTTTTATTTGATACAATTAAAATCTAAAGGTGAAATGAGTGGAAAGATAAATGAAATTCTTACGTATCACTAAATTATAATTATTAGTTTTATTTGATACAACTGAAAGGTGAAGTGAATAGGAGGATAGATGAAGTGATAATACTTTTGTATCACGAAATTATACTTAAAATTGCAACATGTAATAATATATTTATTATTAATGAATAAAACATTCCTGATATTTGTCATTCAAAAAATTCAATATTTTAAATTAATTGTTTTTTATAATTAAAACAATTAATTTTAAATTAATTTTCTGCAAATTTAAAAAATTCAAATTTTACATTTAATGCTTTTTTAAAGCTATTTTTAGAAAGTCATTTATTTATTTGTTGTAATTTTAATATTTTCAGTTTAAGAATTACACCAATAAGTTACGCAGTAAAACATCAGATTACAAGCGAAAGAATATTGAAATAAGTGATTTGAAGAATGAACATGCTGTACTATCACATACTGTCGATATTCTTACAAATCAATGGAACAAACTTATGGGAAAAATAGTTTGGATATTTAATTTTGAAATATCAATTTAATTAATTTAAATTTATCGTTAAAATATTAATTTAATTTGCCTTTGAAATATTAATTTAATTTATCGATTATTTTTATATTTATTATTAATGAGAAAAATATTCCACCTTTATTCGACGTTTTCCATTACAAAACATATTTTTCATCCATTTGTGGAGGTGGAAAAAAACTTTAATCTTCAATGATCGAAATTTTACTAATTTTGTCATTCTATTATTTATTTTATTTTATTTTATCATTTTATCATTGTTATCATTGTTATCATTGTTATCATTTTTCATTTTATCATTTTTATCATCTTATCTTTTTATCATCTTTATCACTTTTATCACTTTTATCACTTTTATCTTTTTATCATTTTTATCATTTTATCATTTTTATCATTTTTATCACTTTATTATTTTATCATTTTTATCATTTTATCATTTTATCATTTTTATCACTTTATTATTTTATCATTTTTATCATTTTCATCATTTTTTTAAATCAACTTTTATCATTTTATCATTTTAATAATTATATACTTTATCATTATCTTTTTCCTTATTATTCTTTTTATCATTCATTCATTCGTTCATTCATATTTTTCCATTTTAAGGAAGAAAATGGTGGAAGGATAATTGAAAGATATGATTTAAAAAATGATGAAAAGTTTGAAAGCATCAAACCGGAAACGGATGATATCAGAAAGTTACGTGATATGATTAGCGAATTAAATCAACAGATTGATTTAAAAAGGATAACAATTGATGGTTTAAAACAATCAAATGCTGAATTCAATAAGCATTTTACTGTAATAGCATCCGATCTTCTTCTATTATTTTTGAAATGATAAAATGTGTTCATAGATAGCCCACTCAATTGATTTCTTATCACTCAATGGTTTGCTATAAAAAAAATAATATTATCTCTTGTTTAAAATTATCAGCTATGATATAAGCAGCCTGTTAAGAGTCTTATCTTAAGTAATACAGCAATTCATTCTACTCATTTCAATCAATCTACTAATCATCAAATCATCCCGAAGTTTATTTTAATTTATTTAAGGATGCTACGGAACGTTTCAATTTGAAGAAAAGAAATTATGAAACATCTGAAGCAAATTTTGAAAGTGCTTTTGTGAAAATTGAAGAGGTATTTTTCTTATCATATCACTTATCATTATCACTTATCATTAAATACTTCGCAGAAATTTATTTGAGCAATCATTAAGTTTGATTATTATATTAGCTAAAAGTAAGGCATGCAACTTTTTTGTTTTAGAATGTCAAAAATATGGAAAATGAAATGATTACAAAGAAGCGCAAAATTTTTCGTGCTAACATTGAACTTACGATTATGAAAACTATTTGGGAAAAATTGCAACAAGAAGGATTAAGAAGGATGATTAATCAAATAGAGGTTTGTTAATGAAAACAAAAGAAAGGTGTGTGTTGAAATTAAAATTTTACAGGTAATGATTAATTAAATAAAAGAAATATATCATCACATTGTATTTATTAAAGAATTAAATTTTTCATTTGAAGAAATTAAATTCAAGAAAAAAAGTAAGCAACGAATAGCTTCTACTTCTAATTATATAACTATACTTATTGTTCAGAAAGAAATTAGTCGTATCGATAAAGAAGTGGAAATTTTGCAACAATCAAATCATGATAATGGATTATCAATTGAGGAAGGAATTGCTCAGGTAGCAATGTGGCGATCATTAATGAAAATTTTTCAACTTAAATTACAAATAGCAAAAGGTGGGAATATGAATGGAGTGTAGAAATGGAATAATTAAAGGTTGTAAATTTTTAATATTTAATTGAGTAAACATTATCTGTCGTTTAGCATGTTGTTGTTTTGTAGAAAATAAAAGAGTAAATAATCTTTATTTGTTTATAAATGTATTTAATTCTTTTTCAATCAAAATATGAAATTGATTTTAATTTCGATTAATTTTAATTTCAATTAGTTTTAATTTCAATTAATTTTAATTTCAATTAATTTTAATTTCGAATTATAAATTATACAAAAAAAACTTCAATNTTAATTCTTTTTCAATCAAAATATGAAATTGATTTTAATTTCGATTAATTTTAATTTCAATTAGTTTTAATTTCAATTAATTTTAATTTCAATTAATTTTAATTTCGAATTATAAATTATACAAAAAAAACTTCAATCAAAATATGAAATTGATTTTAATTTCAATTAATTTTAATTTCGATTAGTATTAATTTCCAATTATAAATTATGCGGAAAAAAACTTGAAATAGTTATAGTAACAAGAAGTACGGGAAAAAAAACCTACGACAAATATATATATGTTGTTCTCTTTCTTAAAATTCATCTTATCAATTTTAACTTTAAAAAAAAAATATGCGGCATTCTTTTCTTTCTACTAAAACCACTTTTAATTTTAGGAACGAATTTTAAAATTACTTTAATTTTAGGTGAAAAATTTCAGGTGAAATTCATCGTATCAATTTTAATTAAAAAAAAAAAACTTTTTTGCAGAAAGTAAATATTAGTTGCATTTAATCAAATTTATTTATAAATGGTAATATTTCTAATCATATCTTTAATCATTAGATTTATAGCTATCATGCTTATTATGTAAAATGGATTTCATTTCAAATTAATCACCATTATATTTCTTTTTGAAATCTTTTAAAAGTGAATTTCAAAAAAGAAAATTTGATATTGCAGCAACTGAGACGTTTCAATTCTTTAAACTGAAATACAGAATATTCAAATTTCTTTTAATTTACACAAAGTTAGGGAGTACTTTTTAAAGAGTGTATTAGTTAATTTAGTAATTAGAAGATATTTAAGCGTAAATTTCTGTCTATATCAGTTTCAGTTTCCCATACCAAACGTCATTATCAGTAAAAGAAACCGATAAGGAGGTAAAAGATAAGTTCAAATGATAATTCAGTTCAAGTTGTTAACGACATTTTTTGCATAGGAAACTGAAAACACCGCATCGTTGAACTTGGCGACAAAACAACGATTATATAAATTATTATATCTCTCAAGTTTTAATGAAATCATTTCTTCTTAATAATTTTGACAATTGATATTATCGCTTTAATGAAATCATTTCTTCTCAATAATTTTGACAATTGCTATTATCAAATTTAAATGAATTTTTTTAATAAATTAATTTGAATTTTAATAATTGAAATAGTTAAGAATTAGGTTTACAACAAATTTACATATAAAATTTATATAATTTTATTCTTTACGCTTTTGATAATATTGTATCTTTCAAAGCCGATCGATAACTGAAATAATTTCAGTTTTAAAAAATCATTTAAAATTCAACTAAAAAAAAAGACATAAAAATAATATGCTACTGTGCGCAATGCATGATATAATACTGCCTTATTACAAATGAAAATAATTTCCAGATATTCAAATATACATGAGAACGGATAAACTATAAAAGTTTTTTACGCTTACTTAAAATACAAGAAAGATATCTCAAAAAAGATGGAAGATAGCAGTTATTGATAAGTGAAAAATTCAATGATAAAAGTTCTTGATCTATCTTGGCAAGCAGGTTGTTAAATTGATGATCAGATTGATTTCCCGGTGATCATTCCTTTTAAGCTATTATTAATATAAAACCTGCAAAAAAAATACATTAATTAAAAACAATGATTGATAATTATCTAAACATTGTAAATGTAGAATTGTAAATATGTTGCAACCGTATTTGCAAATATAATTATTGTAAATATAAACTTACCGTAATTTATCATTTCAAATGACATTTGGTAATTTCGCATATTACTGATAATATAAGCATATTAGGTTTTTTATATTCCAAATTTAATAATAAAGGAGTTTTGAAGATTGTATCCTTTTTTTCAGAGAAGTATTTCAACCACTCACTTTATCATCAGTTCCCATAGACACGAATGCAATTCTGAAGCATGCAACGATCGAAATTTTTCTTGGAATCAGATGATGGAGCTTGAAGCTCGAATTGATCTGCTTCTTCTTCCTAAAAATGATAAATTTAATTTTTATTAATATCAAGAAAGTTGTTGAAAGCTTACAAAAAATCACAAGCAATATTATAATAAACTTTTACTACACTATCATCGAATAAATTTAATTTTATCCTGCAAAAAATGATAGCCTTGATGATACTGAAATAACTTTACTATTTATCATCATCGATTCATTAAAAATATCTATCATATCATAGATTTATAAAACAATAAAAAAAAATTCAATCAAATACCTCAAATTCGGCATTGAGGAAATCACCTTGAGCATATGGAAGTGGAAAAAAAGATTCATGAGAAATTTTGACAGCTTTAATTGCATCTTCATGAGTGCATTGAGTGGAAAGTGATAAGTAACGTGCGACGATTAAACCCGAAATGGTTAAACCATCTGTATCACACGCAACGCAAACACGTGATTCTGTAATCATACAAAAATTGCACGTCATAATGCATTCAGATTCATTGATTTGTTAGAAGCATTTCATATTTATGAATTACTTAAGGAACATATAATTTATTTCTTCATTGTTTAGTCAAAAACTGTAAAAAATTGAAAGGAAAAAAATGCTACTAAATTTAATATGTATCCATTCTTAATCTTTATCTGTTCTTTAATTAGTTAATAATTATTAATTGATCAATGATTAGATAGGTTGTTTAATTTTTTACTCCTTATCATATGTTCTTATCAAATATCATTTAATGGGTACATCTTCTTCACAAAATATCATCATCAACAACAATTACCTTTGCATCGCCATTTGTGTATTCGAGCAAAAATATCCATTGAAATTGAGAGAACTGAAGGATTCTGAATAATAATCATTGTTTCCTCATCAAACAATGGAAGTAATCCTTTCAAATCAAACCCGAAATCCAAAAATTCCGAATAAACCACCAAACAATCAATCTTAAAAAGTAAAATGTAATTTGATGAATATGTTTAAAGAAAAAATTATAACCATATCATATAGCATTACAATTAGTATTCCATTCATTTACATAAATAGCGCAATTTCAGCATGTGAATCAGCAATGAATCATCATCATGATTTACAGTGAAATTACATTTTATCATGTAATTTCATCCCTTATCATCAAATATCTTCTCAAAGATTTAGGTGGCATAAAAGGTCTTATCGATAAATGATAAAACTTATCTCACTCCTAAAATGTAAACTTATACAATATAAGGTTTCATATTAATTGAAATATTCAAAACAAACATCCTTCTCTTTCAACATATGAAAATCATTATGAGTAAGCGATCGTAATGATGCAATATAGAGATCCTGAAGGACAATTTTTACATCAATTTTAACTGGTGGTATTGCAGCAAAACTAGCATATGCTTTTTCCTTCCACTCTTCCAAATCGGCGCATTTTGTTTCATTTACAACTTCACGAATTTTCTTTGTTGGCGTTGGCTATAAAATTTGCATATATTTTCATAGTTCGAACTATCGCAATCCCAATTTATCAGTACAGATGTTAAGAAGGAAATCTCTATCATTCCTATCTTCTAATATTTATTCAAACTAAAATCTCTGCTGAAATTTTGACAACGATTAAATAATTCAAGATGTTAAAAATTTCTGTTTAAATTGTAGAAAAGCTATCTATTAAAAAAATGAAACTTATAAAAATAAAGCCCAAGTTATTTGAAACCAAAAAGATATCATCTTTCAATTTCAAAACTGATAGTTCATTCTATAACCAATTTCCTTGGATCATTTTGTCGAATTAAATAATGTATGATACTGATTAGAGATACGATCATTTTCTGCTTATCTTCAATTCTCAATTATGATGATCACAGATATTTGATGGATTTGTTGTGGTTAGAAATGAAAATAAAATTTAACACTTACTGTTCCATCAGGCAGTTTATACATAATATAACAGAAAATTCGATCAGCTTCAGGTACTGTTTCATCAAGAAATTTTAAAGCAAAATGTTTACGTCCTGCTCGCTCTTTTTCAAGATCGCTTGACTAAAATGTGGGAAAAAAGGGAAAGGATGAAATCATTTTTCTTATCTCTTATCAAATTGATCATTTATTCGTTGTAGAATTTTCACTTTTCTTATCTCTTATCAAATTAATCATTTATTCGTTATGAAAAAAGGATTTAGAATTTAATAGCTATCTATCCTTGTTCTACCTAACATTTTGTTTCAGTAAAAAATTTCTTTTATGAAATTACCTCAAGTTGTTGTTTGTAAAGATTATATGCGACACCAATTAATTGAATAGGACTGGAAGTTCCAACTGCGCCAACACCAACTTCAATGCATCGATCAATTAAGCTATCATCAATTCGTTCACTTTCATTTGCTAATGATTGACGTACCTCACGTTTTATGATACTTAAGCGACATTTCTAAAAATATCACTCATTCTCGATTTATTTACTTACTTACACGACTCTTATCATTTTCTCTCATATCACTTTTTTTGTTGCACTATTTGCTGATATCAATAAACGCCATCTGATTGCATTGTTTGCTGATATCAATAAATGCCTTCTTATTGCATTATTTACTGATATCAATAAACGCCTTCTGATTGCACTATTTGCTGATATCAATAAATGCCTTCTTATTGCACTATTTACTGATATCAATAAACGCCTTCTTATTGCACTGTTCGCTGATATCAATAAACGCCTTCTTATTGTACTATTTGCTGATATCAATAAACGCCTACTTTAAATTTAAATGATAAAATTAAAATTAAACTTATCGTCGAAAAAAATGTAATACAAAACTGATAAATAGCATTAAATATACCTTATTTTTTTATTTCCGATATATGTGAATAATTCATTCTAATTTCTTATTCATTCTAATCTAATATAATAATATAATATTCATTCTAATCTAATATAATATTAATATATCATCCTAATATAATATTTAGAATAATTTATGTTACTTAAAAATATCCTTATAAATTTTTATCAAAGATAAAACGATGTCGAATATAATTATACTTTATATATCAAACATATGTTGAAATTTGAATAAACAGCAATCGCTTGAAATTAAAATATATAGCTTGCATAAAAGTAATAAAATGATTTTTTGCTACACCAAAATATCGTGCGTGATCTTTTAGTATCCTTGGGAAATATAAGTTTAAATGGATTATTAAATAGATATTAAACAAATAGATACTTCATTTAAATGAAACAATTTAGTAAAGTATCTATTTATTACTTTTATGCAAGCTATATACTTTAATTTCAAACGATTACTATTTATTGCTACCATTTAAATGATGAAGTAATTTATAATTAAATGAAATTTATAATTAAATATAATTAAATGAAGTAATTAAGTAAAGTATCGATTTAAATTGGAGTTTTTATCTTGTATACTATTTTTTTTATCATTTTAAAAATTATGAAACAAACGCCTTCTTTTTCAACTTTTTCAACTTTAAATAAATAAATGTTGAAAAAAGAAAAAGAGTAACCAGCGATGGTGGAAAAACAAAATGATTAAGTTGTCGCATGTCAAAAATAAATTGTCCCGGGAAATTTGATGATACCTGCAAACAGTTGTAAGCAGAAAAATAAACTTTAACATAAAAATTTTCTCATTTAATAATTTTCTCAAAATTAAAATATTTAGTAATTATTTAGTATTAATTTTCGAATTTAAAAAAAAGTCAATTTAACATTCAAAAATTCAATTTCAAAAATTTCAGAAATCATAAATTATTTCTATTTCTCTCTTTGAGATACATTATTATATTTCATTTGTGAATAACAGAGAGGAAGATTCTTCTCTTCTTCATTCCTTCTCATTTATAGATAATAAGCCTAGTTATATTTAGATCAGTACAAAATTGCCATCAATTTAAGGCTAAATTTAAAGTTAAATTTTATGATTGAAATCTGATTAGCTCAATAGTTTAATATTAAAAGGAAAATTAAAGTAAGTAATCAAGAAACGAAATACAAATCATTTTAAATTCTATTTAAATAATTATGAAACATAATCAAGATAAGAAAAATAACGGAGAGAATGTTTGGGAGTAATCAAAGAATCCTTTCACACATTAATATGTAACATGGATAATCGGTAGAGCAAATGATGCCGCGTAATCAGAAAAGATATGTTATAATTTTAAGCCATGGAATCGTACTGACGAAAATATAACACAACTCGAATATTCCTACCCGTTCGTCAGAATTAAAATGTAGCAACTAAACGTTTATTTATTTTACTAAGCTTTAAATCTCACTCGACAACGAATATAATATAATTATGCAAATTTTATTCAAACAAAGAAGCGGCCTGACCAATTGATGAGATTTGAATATTCCTTTAAAAGAGATCGATATACTTCATTAAAGTCACAGCTATGAATTCATGTCTAGCATCCATTTTGGAAATTCCGACACTTACAGGACGGCGGTGCCAGAAAATTTCAAAAGGTTCAACTCCCACACTAATAATTTTTCTGACCGCACTTCAAAAAAACCTTAAATATTTCTTTCATACTCCATTTCTGCTGCAGAATTCCAAATAATAAATCAGAAATCCGTTTGACCAATCCAATCATTATATTAGTGACTACAAAGTGAAGCTATCAAAAAGAACTCTTAATTTATCACACAAAATCGAGCAACAGAAAAAACAATATTAATACATAAATTTGAATGCAGTTTAAAGAGCAACATGTATATACAAAAAGAGTCATTACTCAAATATAAGAACTAAAATCCCCAGTAGAAGACTTAAATGTCGTAAAAACTACAGAAAAACAACTCAAACATAATTTTAATGGCTAATTAAAAAACTCTATCCCAAATGAATGACTAGTATAGAATGCAACAGTTATAGAATACAACGATTGCAATAGTCAAAACAAGAAGCAAAACATGAAGTCCATATTCACAAAATTTTTTGAAGATTTGATATAATATGAAAAAAATCATTACATGCGCCTCTGTCCTCTAAGTCAAAGTTATTATAACTTTCAATGCCAAATTAATAAGTCAAAAGCGCATAAATATCATTCATTCATGTATAACATAGTTCGTGCATGATACCATAATAATGTTTGAAATTAAACTGTCTGATATTATATAAAAAACAATGTAAAACTATAAAGGATAAATACTAATTATCTACTTTATTTTTAACTGTGCTTCTGTTCATCCTAAAAACAATAACATTTTTAGCTGTACATAAAATACTTTTATTGTTACAATATCCCAGCATCATCATCAAAAATTTGAGTAACTTCATCCAACTCGAGCAATTGTTCATCCATGAATTTCCTGATTCGTCGCATGCAAACCAATGACTTTTGCATTGGAAATGATGACAATTCCTCCGCGAGTCCGCTAACTGAAAAACCAGGAATTAGGGTTGCATAAAATTTAGAACATAAAAGATAATAGATGTTTGGAATTACAGAATTCAAACTCTGCTTAAATCTGTATTGCAAAAAACGACAAAGTTCTATTTTATAAAAGGGCTCACCAAAAGAATTTATACGCTTATGAAAAGCTGCATTTCTTCCAGTATTGAAAGTTCGGGAACGACCACCGCCCGATAGAGGACCCGAATTTTGCTGGTGTTTCTGCAACAATATTAGATATCGATGATCTACAACTATGCGAATACAAAAATCGAATATAGAAGTCATGATTTTCAATATACCGGGGATATCCCTTCAATCGATGGATTATGTGCACCAGCAAATGTCTGTGCATTTCTGCCAGTAGCGTCGTTGCCTCCGCTCACTTTTACATCACTTGCTGAAAAAATGTTTTTGATATAACTAATTTCGAATATTCCACAATTAATAACAAGAGAATAAAACAAAACCTTCTTCAGGAATACAAAGGATTGTTAACCAATACTGATAAAACCATCATGAAATTGTAGTAGTAGTACCCAATCATATCTCTATATAAAGGATTTCAAAAAAAGCATGAAATCAAAACGGTTTATGAAAAAAAAATATTTGATTCTTAAACGAAATGCAGCAGAAAGATTAATGGAAAGAGTGAAATGTCTTTGGCAGCGTCCGTCTCTTATAGCTTGATATTTATCAACTCGTTACGTAATATAAATTGCGGAATTTATGAAATTATTACAATCTAAACAGTGGAGCTAACTCCTTTGCTATAAAAAATATGCAGAAGTATTAAATTAAAAGCACATGAAGATAAATTTTCTAATCTCTAGATGCGAAAGAACGAATCTATAGAAAGACAACATACCAATAGACGAGGAAGCACTGCTTTCTTTTCTATACCTCTGTTCATCATTTTCAGCAACTCCTGAAACTTTTTAAGAAAAAGAGTGAAAGTCTCATTATTTGTCACTTTTGCTTTTCTCAAAATATTTTCTAAAGTCACCAATTATACATACCATCATATTCTTCTCCAGCCCCAGCTCCAGCCATACTTCCATCCTGTTCTTCATCAACATATGCATACGAAACAGCGTTTGAATGAGGCTGCTCTTCTGAACCACAAACATTTGCCGTAGCCATCATCCTTAGTTCACACAGTTGTTTTTTCCTCTGAAATATAAAAAGGAATGACAAGATAGTTTTACAAACAATTCATTCAGAAAGTAGAGGATTTCTAATTTGTGACCCTCTGAAGAAATTACACAGCTTATTCCACTTCGTAAGCTTTCTCCTACTGATAAGTACATATTTGGCCAACCTTTTCCATATCACTCAAGTAAACCGAAAATATCAGTCCATGGGCATTTGAATATAACGGATCGTAGCTCATGGGTTCTAGAAGAAATTAGATATTCTCTCAACGTTCGAAGAGCATTGAAAAAGCTTTTGAAATATATTGTTACGCATGCCATAAGGAGAGTGAATAACCGATCAAAAAGTATCGTATGAGTATTTTGGACAGGAAAGTGAAAAGGCTAAACGACTTTGGATTCAAATAGTTATCATGCTATAATCATGCGCACGAAAACTTTTGTGAAATGCGATAAAATTTTGCTCGCCCCGCAGATAATACGATCATCGTGCATTGAGAACAAGTTTAAAAACAATCAGTAAATTTGAACTACTGTGATATGTTCATGACACAAAAATGAAATAGCATCACTTCATCCATTATTTCAAAGACTACTCCATCAGTAAATGGAAGATAAAAAAAGTATACTTTTTGAATCTCTTCCCATTCTTTTTGAGTGATTACAGATTCAGAGATATGCCTTGATCTCAGATGTCTCATCAAATTTCCAGAGCATGCATAGGCAACATGTGTACCGCACATCCTGCAATCAGCGCTTTTTCGATTGCGGGTGAAATAGCGCCAACATGGATGCTCAGTTCCATGTCCGCCTCGTCTTTCGGAACCTTCTTTGGACGATAATGGTTCATCAGTTGGTCGATTAACTGACGATTTTAACTGTAATCTCATCTGCCACGACTGTTCAAACTCAGCAGCGATCTGAAAAACAAGATTTGATATTTGCTCCTAACAAAATATAATGAGTTAAGAAATCTTAATATGGAGTAATATCCCCAACTTCAAAATATCTTAGCGTTAATGGTAGAAACAAGACAAAAAAGAAAGTGTAGAAAGGAAGTAAAATCAATCAAGTAAATACACAACCATCAATGACTGCATATGGGAAGATAAAAACATGTCAAGTTTGAAAAACAAAAAAAATGGGTACTATATTTAATAGGTCACTTCAGAATAATGGTAACTGCAAGACTATATTTCATCTTATTTTTTTCACTTCTCGAAATTTCAATTCATGTTAACAGAAAAGCACAATCGGTGATGACTTATAAGTCTAACTCAGTACTCTATCTCATAAACATTTATTGTTCCTTTTAACTGCCTTCATGGGCGGTACCTGTACGTTGGGAACCTATGTGCTAAGTAGGAATACATGTTGGGACCTATATGTTTGATACATTCAATTTATAAAATGGCACAATAAGTCCTTCCTACTTATACACTGATTTTATATTCAAAAACAGGAAAATGATTAAAATTTGATAAACCACTATAATAGAAACGAGATTTATTCTTATCGTTTCTTGTTTGTAAAATCGTCCTTGATTAAAAGGTATAAAATTTCTGCTATAATCTCAGAAGAAACAAGAAGAGAAAGGAGTAATCACAATTCCCATTTTAATTTCAGATGACATCCGCCAATCTTTTTTTTACTCCTTAAAACAAAATTAGTCTCTTACATTCCAGAGCGAACAGAGAAACTCATATCAATCAATTAGACATTCACCAACGCTATAAATCAGTGATCTTTTCCAAATTAATCAGCAATCCTAATGTTCTTCATGAGCCAAAATTCGAAAAAATATACCTGAGGATGACAACTTATAAAATGTTCCATGGCCTTTTGAACATCAATCGGTTTGATTTGCTGTGCGCAAACACGGCAAACCATAGAATCAAGGTCGTCAGATTTGTGCATGTAATCCCAACATGGATGATCCAGGTCACGAGTTGCACCTGGAATCCCTGAGTTGCGGACGACCGATCATACAGCATTATGAAAATCCTAGATGATCCTCCGCGAAAAAATTTCAGATAATTTCTTTTCGAGTTACTTATTTCAATAATAGAAAAGCTCAAAATATTTCTATGAAGGGCATTTTTTCCTTACCTTCTGTTTTAAACTTTTGGAAATAGAAAACGTATGATTTGCTTACGAAATAACATCATCGAAGGACTAATTAGAGAATAAATTAAATAATGCTGCTTGGCTTAAGACACTATAAAAGTATAAAACATAACTGACGGCTACGACAGCTGTATTGATTGATTAGGATACGGTATAAGGCAACGAACCATCCTCAGAGTTGTCGCTTTGATTGGTAAATTGTTGTGATATTATAGCTGATATATCCGCTAAAGCATTAGCAGTCGCCGTCGCTTCCACTAAGGAGAATGTTTTCTCGGGGTCCCGCTTGACGATAAATGCAGGAGAATCAATGTTTTGTTGTTGCAAGGCAAAACTGCTAGGACCGAGATCCATCAAAGAGACTTAGCACTTCAGTGAGCAGAATTCTCGACGTTCACTACTTATAAAGACCTTTGTATAGCATCATGGTCGAGCTGTCAATCTGTTTTAGTGCATATTAGAAATGCCGTAGAGTTGAGATCAAAATGTAATTTTATGACTGATGAGAGAAGTAAGCGAAATATGAGACCAGGAACAAACAATTCAACAAATCCTGAAACCAAACGATCACCAACCCGAAAAATAACACAGCGCCAAGTTCACAAGTGCGGCCCAAGTGACTAACCACCGTGAAAACTGCGATCTCAATTTGGATTTCGGTCATTCAACACCAACACCAAACACTAAACCAATCCTTGGAAAAAATAAGAAGCATCCGCAATCGCTGACAGTCATTCTCATGATACCTCCCATCATTCATCAAAACCATTTCTCACAATTTCTTTCTATTTCGTGCATCGGTAATTTGCAATTTGCATATGCAGATCAGACTGTAAAGAGTCAATTTACACCTATGATTATTACAAAAGTAGTTTCACTCCAGAGAGTATTACAATAAAAATTAGGAATTTTCCATTACAACAAAAGAATGGATTCGATGGAGAAAAGTGAATCAAAAGAATTTGAAAATTCATACAACTTGATTTGAATGCCACGAATTTTAGAGAGATTCAATCATAAAAACTTGAGATTACAATGAATACGAAAACATATAAATATGTTTGAGGTATGGTATGTGTAACATGCCTTATTTACAACATCCTACAACTAATCAACTTAAATGCAATATCTCAATCAGTGAATAAAGAAGCTCTGTTTTAACTACAGTACAGTAATTTCTTTAAAGGTTCTTTAATAGATGTGATTTAGGGTGAACTTTTTTTTCAAAGAGTATAATCAGCACCACCCCGATATTCAATAATTATTCAACTATCACAAAAAATGTAAATTTGCACAAAACAAATACCTAATCAAGAATATCTGACTGAATTGTCCTAGGAATCATTCATATCACACCACTAGTAAAACCCACGATACTTTTTCCAAAGCACATTTATAAATTTATATTCCTGTAGTTGGCTTTCTAATCAGAATTTCTTAACAGAATTCCTCGTGTCCGAAAAAGGAGATGTATATTAGATGTATATATATATATATTAGTAAATAAATAATATAAGTCGATTTTTAAGCAGATTAAGATAAATAGACTCACTGACTTTGGACTAAGTCATCTCGAATAAGTTCAAGAATTAGTCAAACAAGCACTTAACATATAAATTACAGTCACATCACATAAGATTTCGTTAAAGAAAAATTATTAAGTAACATTGGTGTCTACTTCCGAATTTTGTATACTTCCTTCCAATCCAATCAACTTTTCATCCATAAATTTTCGGATCTGGCGCATACACAATAATGATTTCTCCATTGGGAATGATACCAAATCTTCCACTAATCCGTTTACTGAAAAATCAATACTGTTACGATAACTACAATTTTAGGGAGTAGTCGAATTTTTGATAAAAAATACTTATATTCCACGAAATGAAATCAATCATAAACTCCCTTCCTCAACCATTTCCATTTTTACAAATGTCTTCTCACCTTCCAAGATATGAATTAAATGGAAAACAAAAGAAAAAAAGGTAAACATAAGCCCATTTAATGCCTTTTAATTTTCCCAAAAAAGAAAATTTCTAAATTCAAACAAACTCATTTTAAATCTAACAACGAACAAATCATACAAAATGAAGTCAACAAAACAAATCACCGAAGAAGCTAATGCGTCTTCTAAATGCATCACTTTTTGTGTCCAAAGAGTTCTGTGAAAGCCATGATCCTTGCTGTTGCAATCCCTGCAATGCATTCATTTTTCACAGCCAGCAAAAACCTTCCTTTATTTTTACAAGAATTGCTTAAGCAATCCTTCATAACTTGCTACATTTGATAATTTTGGCATCTTGAGAACTATAACGAACTTTAATATGCCTAATATTGAATTAAATGTAAAAAACAAAATGAAAACGAGTATTGCATGTTAGGTTGAAATCCTCAAAATTTATCACATGGCATACAGTGCGAAAACACCTCGAGAAAACTGACGGGTGAAGGTGATTTAGGAAGATTAGATGAAAATCCAATGGACTGCAAAATCCTGTTTGCAGTTTCGCTAACATCTGTTGTTTTTGCATCATCTGCAATGGAAGGTTCAAGTGTTGCATCATGTTGCTCAGCGATTGTCTGGCCATCAAAATCATCCAACTTCGAATCAGCATCTAAAAAAGTAAAATTAGAGCACTCAAATTAATAGAATTCCAATATTTATAAATGGAGGTGAAAGGTCTAACGGAAGAAATGAATCAAAAATACATTTCATGCCAGAAAAAGATTCCGATGAAAATAAAATGATACCATTACATGCTGAACCATCATTTTCATTTCCGTTACTCTGCTCGAAAAGTTCCATATTACCTGAAAAGAATAATCAAAGAGAAAAAAAGCAAATCAATCCATACAAGAGTAAAGCGCATGCTTTTGTTCCTAATTTCATTTAATGGGAAATAATTACAATAACTTGCCATCTTCTTCTCCTTCGATTCCATCTCCTCCTAAGCCTTCATCTTGTTCATCTTCATTATCGTAAGATAAGAAGTTTGACGGTGACTGTTCTTCAGATCCAGATACATTCGAACTTACCTTTAATCGCAACTCGCAAAGCTGTTTCTTTCTCTGAAATCAATAAGTGGCAAAAATTTATTTTCAAAAAAAGTAACCCAATAAGTGAAAGAAACTGACAGAATAACTAATTTCACATTAATAATACAGATCTTTTCGTAAGAAAGAATCACAAGGCAATATTTTCTATTTTCATCAATATTTCGGACAATTTCAATATATTTCTCAAACTGTCTATTGCAAAGAAAAATTGCTTCAATGATAACCTTGAGAATTTCTTCCCACTCTCGTTGAGTTATGGCAAATTCTGCAAGATGTCTGGATTTTAAATGTTTCATTAAATTGCCAGAGCACGCATATGCTACATGCACACCACACAATTTGCAATTTGAACTTTTTCGATTAATTCGACAAAAATAACGCCAGCTAGGATGTTCTGCTGCACGACCACGCCTTTTCCACATACTTGCGTCTGAAGATCAAATTGAAATACCGTCCTAATAAATTCAACACCACAACAGATCAAGAGTAATTTCATGCTCCTCAAAAGTCAATGAAATTTATTCTTCGTTTAGACAGCACAATTACGCTTTATCCTTAACAAAATAACAAAGTTGACTTACGAAACAATGAGGTTTCCGAAGATATGCGACTGAAGTCAGCCTTGAGTTGCAACTTCATCTGCCACGATTGATCAAGCTCAACAGCAATCTAGAACTATTTGTAATACTATTTGTAAAACTATTTATAATAATATTTGTAAAATTTGTAATATTTGCATTTATATAACTTCAGTAAATGAAATTTTTTGAAGAACGAAACATCAATGAATACTATATGAGATATTTATGCTTATTTTCTTTACAATTTCACATTGCAATAGGAATTAAAAAAAAGCTCATTCAATCATTTCTCTAACGTTTTAAAAAAAGTAGTCTTATTTCTTTCTCCTCAAAAAAACCAGTGCCAGCATAAGTTCATATATTTTTTTCAGATATTTATGCTCACTACAGTTAGTAGATAATTTTTTTTACCACATAACCTCAAAAAAAAAACTTCTAACCCACCTGAGGGTGACAACTACTAAAATGCTGCATTGCATTTCGGGTATTCAAACATTTTACCACTTTCGAGCATATCCTACAAATCATACAGTTATGTTCATCAACTCGTTGCACCAATTCCCAGCATGGATGTTCTGCTACACGACCACGTCTTGGTCCTAGAAATCATTCATTTTCGAAGTTTTCACGTTTCTAACTAATTCTATGTTTTAGAGGGTTTTGATAATAACGAACGACAGAAGTGACAATCAAAAAATGGATCACTCAAAGATACGGAAGGATTCAGCTTTGAAGAATTCGAATTATTAAACTTCTTAAATTTAAAAATGGTAATAATCATGCTACGTTAACGAAATGTAAATATAACAAATTGATATTATTAACTAACTTTTTTCATTGGATTCAATCATTCCCAATCTACCATCATTGTAATTCTTACTCTGCTGTGTTATCAGTGTAGAAATATCAGCAAGAGTATTTGCTGTAGCTGTTGCTTCTGCTACATTCTGCTCTTGACCATGTAACTCATCTTTAATATCATTGAACATATTCATATTCACAAATGGTTGAAATGCACCGTTAATTTTAAGCCTTAAATAAATAGATGATAAACACATAAATAATAATAACGAACGCTTATATCATCAAACATTATATATATATCTCATTAAGTATAATTCTCATTATGTATACGAAAGTATAATATGAAGAGTTTTGAATAGCTAATATCTGAAATTTAAAATTTTTATCGATAATAATGTAGCAAAATAAATAAATAGAAGCAGTGAAGGCAAACATTGCGGGAACAGCAATTTCACAATTTCCGATAGAACCCGTGCCCCACGGAGCATAACTACTTCCCACTCATTTTTATTCAATTTCAATTCAATTCCTCTCAGCAGGCAGTCATTTAAAGACACACACACACACACACACACACATATACACGCATAACACACATTTGCAATTAAATGTAAATCAGAAATCGATAAAATGCATTCAGTTCTTGAGTACAACGCTGCTATATATACACATATGCACACACACACACACACACACACACATACACACACACATACACAAATATATATATATATAGATAGACAGAGACATACACACATACACACACACACACACACACACATATATATATAACACGCTCATATTCCCTTCCGTGCTCCAATACTATAATATTATTACTATTATTATTCAGTGACGCAACAAATTCTACGAAAAGTAAATGGCACGCTGATTGATTCAAATAAAATTAGAGTGAAATTGAATAGATAGGGGAAAGATGATAGAGTAGAAAAGGATGGAATAGAATAGAATAGAATAGAATAGAAATAGGAGTGAGATTGAAATAAAATTGGAATAGAATTGAATAGATTAGGGAAAGGATAATAAAATAGAATGGAATAGAATAGGAGTGAGATTGAAATAAAATTAAAATAGAATTGAATAGATTAGGGAAAGGATGATAAAATAGAATGGAATAGAATAGGAGTGAGAATAAAATAAAATTAGAATGAAATTGAATAGAGTAGGGAAAGGATGATTGAATAGAATTGAAAAAAATAGAATAGAATAGAATAGGAATGAGATTGAAACAAAATTAGAATAGAATTGAATAGAGTAGGAAAAGGATGATTAGAATAGAATAGAATAGAATGGGAATAGAACAAGAATAGGAATAAAATAGGATTTGAATGGTTGATCAATGTATGTGATGTTTTATATATTAATAAAGAGACAAACAGGCATGAAGCAGTAAAGAAATTGAGGGATAAATGAAGAAAAGATTTGAATGATCATCCGATATCTTTTGAAGGTTAAGGGTCACTGATATGATAAGAATTTTATGGAATGAATTGAATTAGAAATAAACATACATTATTATATGAAACATAGAAAGGAAGAAATAATTGAAAAATTAGGGACCATTATAATACCTGTCCTGTTTTTCTTTAAATTTATAATGAGTTGAAATGAGTAGAATAGTATCGCTTCTTTCAATCGATTTAAATTACATTGTTGATCAATTAATCATTAATTAATTAATTAAAACCAATATGTTAATATGATAATTAGACTTATTATTAGGCCTTTTATCAGGAAAATGCAGTGCAGCCTATCATCAATTCAAATATAAACCAGGTAGACTAATTGACCGTCTTTTCCTAGGCTAATTATTAATCAATACAGGTAAGCGATTCACATCTTGCTATTTTTCCATCATTTTCGCAAATTAGTGAACGAAAATTTTGCGAAATCGACTATTTACAGAGTTTCAAAATTTAGTAAATAGTATGATTCATAACTGTTAGTAATTATGGTTAATAACCTGAAAGTATATTTTAATTGGAAAAATCCTATAATTATTATTATTATTATTTTTTCGTTAATTAATCTCAACCATTACTATATTATCAGGAAAGAATTATTTCAATTTAAAAATCAAATTTCAAAATGTTGTACAATTTCTGAATTTTAATAAATTTTAAATTAATGTTAAGTTTTCGAAGTTAAAAAAAGAAACGGCTAAATCATCGGTTAAATCTTTTTGAATTAAATATTTACCACATTAATTATGAAAATTCGAAAAAGAATTAATCAAATATTTAAATTGAAAAAATGCCAATGGATGGTTGTCATGATCGCTCGATCGATCATGACAGCCATCCTTTTCTCATTGCAAAAATTATCATTATCATCTAAAACACCAAAAAAAGGAAATCATTGTTAAAAAGAAGTGGAAAATTTTTTCAATGATGAATGAAAAATTTCAAATAAAATATTTATTTGTGTACTAAATTTAATTTTAATAATCCTTCAAATTACTGCTCAATTAAAACAAAAAGAAGAAAGCAAATAACAATTAAACAAATAAGTAAACAAAAAGTAAATAAATAAATAAATAAATAAATCAATATGAGACAGATGCCTAATATTAGCATTCATTTTAAATTTGAATAAATAATTAATAGTTGATGACGACGATGAATTGACAGTTTTATCGTTTGGTTGTCGAATAGAATGTCACAGATGTACAATTGCGTCAATCATTGATTGCTAAGCTATTATTTTGAGCATACAACAATCGATATAAATGATAATTAGCAATGCAAAATTAGTATTATTTAATTAATGAAATGTTAAATTAGAAATATTAGCATTCGTTTAAAATTTCATTTTTACATGTAAAAATAATTGCAATAACTTTTTTTTTATTAATTTAAAAATTAAAAATACATAAAACAAAATAATTTCTATTTTAATTTAAAAATTAAAATAGCTACAACTAATTGATTTCAAATTTATGATGATCATAATAAGTATGTAAGTATAAAGTAAGTGCGAATTTAAGTGTGAATAAGTATGAATATCAAAGTAAGTATGAATTTATGATGATCGAAGTTGCGAAATTGCGAAATTGCGAAACTTGCGAAATTTTTTTTGCGAAAAAGTTTGCCAAAAAAAAAAAATAAAAATTCAATGCTGCAAGGTATATTGCAAGATGTGAACAATAAATTGAAATATCAAATACTGCATGGTAAAAAATTTATATATATATCATATATCATATATCATATATCAATATACATATCATACATATATTATAAAATTGAAATATCAAATACTGCATGATAAAATCAATGCATGATAAAAAATCCCAATTTTTTAGTAACTTTTTTTTAATTCTTAATATTTCCTTGTTGTTTCCTTCAACTGCATCGCTCTTTCAACTTTCCACTCACTTTTATGAACATTTTCAATTCCAATATTTTTTCCTTTCATGC